GCCAAAATCCTAAGGAGTATACAGAAGCCAACATTACAAATGTCCGACCAAAATTCCCGAGTCTCAAGTTTCTCACACAAAAATCCATACCATAAATCCTAAATATCGCTCTATCATCTCAGGAAAGTTGAATCACCGCTATGGACAAAGGCAAGAACGTCCAGACGGAGCTCACTGGGGAGAAATTGTGAAGAAAGATCGAGCGAGTCACTCGAGAGATTCAGAAGGTTAAGAAGGAAGGGCTCAAAGTAGACATGACCACGCTGATCTACAAAGCTGCGGTCACGACCTTGGATGAAGATCTAGCGTCGCAGATAAAAAGAAAGAAGGAGGTCGAGATGGAAACTGAGAGCCTAAGGAAAAGGTTGAATTTGCTTCGTTTGGAGATACACGAAGGAAAGGCGAGAGAAGCGAAGATAGATATTGAGACTGTCGTGTTGTCGGCCAGAAGTGCGGCACTCGACGAGGAATTGGCGACCCATGGCAACCTAAAGGGCGGAAAATACCTCGCCCGTGATCAAGGAGCAAATCACAGTGGCCCCGGCTGTGAAGTAATTGAGGAGGACGATGAAGAAAAAATCGTCTACAAGCCTCCATTTCCGACTGTCTGAAAGGAAAGGAATGACGCAGCCACAAGACAAGAAATAGCTAATGTTGTCTTCTAAAGATTTCAATGTTGTTTTTCAATTCCCTTGTAATCACAACAAAAGAATGAATGGAAAATTTTCATCCTAAAATCCGAACTACGTTGGGCCTAATTCTCCTTGTGAGATACGTAGGCAGCCTTCCCGGCCCGGCCCCTATCACAGAAAATTTTCATTCTCCTTCATGTTTCGGAGATACGAAGATAAGATCAACGGACGTCGCAAAGCAGCTGCAAGAAGACCATAGCTCAACATGATTCAGATTTCCCAAGATAGCGCCAAACAAACAAATTCCTGTTTGTTCAAAATATATATCCGTCCTTATTCGTGGGTTAAGATATCCTCAAACAAAGCGACTTGTGTGTTTAATCTGTTTGCTGTGCAATATTATGTATTTTGTACTCAAATATGTGTAACAAATTTGCCTTTGAGTTATTTTTACCTCTCAGGTACCTCTTACTGATCTGTGTCTATAAAGCTAGCAGATCACCACTACTTTACCAGATCAAAAGGTCGCGCAGATTCCTTCCCCGGATCAAACGCAAATACAGACATGGGCGACAACAATGAACAAATCAGCCTCACAGATGTCGTGGTGGCTCAGCCCACCGTGGCAGAGCAAAATAAGCTTATTGCGCAGCTGATGCAGCAAATAGCTGACATGAGGGTAGAGATGTAATGGAGGCAAGACACTCCTCCGCCCGGATTCGGCCCCAACTTTCTTGACGCAAGACCTCCTACATACTTCCCCTCGTCCAGCTCGGATCCTACTCAGCAGCGTCCATCGACACCCGTACAGAACCCGTCTGGGGTAGACATGACAACCCAAAATCCCCAATACACGTCAGTCTCCTATCAAACTCCCTCACCACTCCCAAACAATCCACCACAAATACCCCCACACCCCCAAAATACTCAAACAGCCACACTACCCCAAAATCAAGCCCAAAATCCCACCGCCTTCAATTTCCAAACACCGCATCCTCACTTAACCCAAAATACCAATCCCCAAAATTATCTGCAAAACTATCAAACCGCACAGAACGTCCCAAGCCCTTCCTTAGCTCCACCCCTCCCCAAAAGAACCACTTTTCAAATCCCTGTCCCAGTCGAGCATGAGGTGCACGGCTCCGAGTTGGACCACTACGAGGAGCAAGAAAGAGAGTGGAGGGCGAGGGAAGAAGCGAAGGTAGACATAAAGGAGGAGATCAGGAGGGCAATGAGGGAATTGCAATGTACTCCAGACGTCGCCGGGTTAAGCTACGCAGAACTATGCATCCACCCAGACTTGAACCTGCCTGAAGGGTTCAAGATCCCGAAGTTTGATACCTTCGGCGGGATAGGCAACCCCATGGCACACCTCAGAGCGTATTGTGACCAACTCGTGGGAGTTGGTAAAGATGAAGCCTTGCTGATGAGGTTATTCAGCCGGAGCCTGTGCGGTGAAGCCCTAGAGTGGTTCACGTCACATGAGACTCGACAATGGCCCAGTTGGAGTGCACTAGCTAAGGATTTCATCGACAGATTCGCATACAACGTCGAGATAGTTCCTGATCGGTACTCCTTGGAGAAGATGAAGCAGAAGCCCACTGAAAGCTATCGAGAATTCGCGTACAGGTGGAGGAAAGAGGCGGCAAGGGTGAGGCCTCCGATGACAGAAAAAGAGATTGTGGAGGTTTTCGTGCGGGTGCAGGAGCCCGAGTATTATGACAGGATCATCTTGTTAATCGGCGCCAAATTCGCCGAAATAGTCAAAGTGGGTGAGACTATTGAAGATGGCCTGAAGTCGGGGAAGATAGCCCGAGTGTCTGCATCGCCTGGATCCTCTGGACTGGTAAGGAAGAAAAGAGATGAGGTTAACGCTATCTCACACGGGGAAAGAAAGGCCCCCAGAAACTTACCACGTCCCCAAGGCCTCTCCTACCCTCCATCAAAGCCTCATCAAGCCTACCGTCCAAACTCAAATCATTCCAGCCACTACAATGCCGGACCCACTTATCCAGAAGTCCATATTGTGTCGTATCAGAATCCACCCCTGATTCCCAAAATTTTCCAAACTACCCCCAAGCCTATCAAGTCCCTCCCCACTACCAGAATGTCGCTCCCAGCTGCGCTAATGTACAGCCAAGCTATCAAGCGCCGTTCCCCGCATATCAAATACAAACCCCAGCATATCAAAACCCCCATCCAAATTACCAAGCCCCAATGCCAAACTACCAAATAAATCCCCATCCCAGAGCCCAAGCTCCACGACCAAATGCCCACAATTACCAACAAGTCCCTCCCCCTCAGCAAAGCGGTTATGATCCTCCCCGTCCGAGATTTGAAAAAAGGCCTTCAAGGAAATTTACCACACTTGCTGAAAGCTGGACCAAACTATTTGAGAGGCTAGTCGCAGATGGATACATCCACCCTGTGGGGCCTAAACCCGTGGATGTCAATTCAAAGTTCTACAGGCCAGATCAAAGGTGTGCTTATCATTCCAACAGTGTTGGATATGACATGGAAGATTGCATCAACCTTAAGCGCAAAATCCAAGAACTAATCGATCAGGAGGTAGTTTTTCTTCAACCGGCGGCGCCAAACGTCAACACGAATCCGTTGCCAAATCATGGGGGTGGAAACATCAACATGATAGAAACTGACGAAGATGAGCTTGAAGCCAAGAGAATTACTCCTGTTGTTCAGGAAGACTTGGAAAGGGCTGTCGCTTCTTTAAGCGTCAAGGAAAGGAGGGAGTTTGTTATTCTGACACCTGCAAAGGCTGTTGCCTTGGTGCCCTCAAAGACTCTCCCCAAACCTAAGTTTGTGATAGAAACGGTCGTGGCTCAAGGCATGACTAGGTCCGGAAGGTGTTACACTCCTGATGAGCTTGCTCTCGGAGGACAGAAGAAGGACCATGCTAAGAGGCCGATAAGCGAGGGGGAAGCAGAAGAGTTCTGGAGAAGGATGCAACCGAAGGACTATTCCATCGTCAAACATTTAGAGAAGACTCCGGCTCAGATATCTGTGTGGGCCCTGCTGATGAGCTCTCAGTCCCACAGGCAGGCCTTAATGAAAGCTCTTGATGATACATACGTGCCCTCAGGTATGAGCAGCGACAATGTAGCTGCTATGATTCACCGAGTCATTCAGGGACACCGCATCAGCTTCTGCGATGATGAACTGCCGGCTGAAGGGAGGGCCCACAACAAAGCTCTACACATCACCGTGGTATGCCGCGGAAAGATCGTCAACCGTGTTTTGGTGGACGACGGATCTGGCCTAAACATATGCCCCTTGTCTACGCTGAAGCAGCTGAGGTTTGACCTCGGAAAGTTGGAGAAAAACCAGGTCAATGTGAGAGCATTCGATGGTGTGCAGATAGAGACGTTAGGAGCGGTGAATTTGACCATCCAAATGGGCCCTGCAGAGTTCGAGGAAAAGTTCAAGGTGTTGGATATCGACACCAGCTACAACCTCCTTTTGGGCAGGCCATTCATTCACACGGCTGGAGCCGTCCCCTCCACTCTCCACCAAATGATAAAACTGGTGTAGAAGAATGAAGAACTGGTTATTAGGGGTGAAAAGGGCCACTCAGGCAAGCAGATGCCGGTCTTGGACGAGACGCCACAAAGCTTGGATTTTTACACGGTGGAGTTGGTAAATGCCACCGATGAGGGCTTGGCCTCACAGACTCCCATGTCGTCCGTGTATAGAATGATCGCCACGGTGATGCTGCAGAGCGGATTCAAACCAGGTTTCGGATTAGGAAGGAATGCACAAGGGATCATCGAGCCAATTCCGGTCCTTGCTAAAGGATCAAAGTATGGTTTGGGGTACATCCCCACAAATGATGATTTGAAGATGAAGAGGAGAAAGGATCAAGGGTTGACTAAGCCGATCCCACATCTCTATCACTCCTTTCCAGTCCGGGAGCATGCCGAGCCTGCAGACGATGGGGAAGGAATCTGTGACCGGTTAAGGGAGATCAACGCCGTCATCGAGGAGGAGGCTGAGCCAGCAGGCATTCGTGATGCTGAACCAGGGGAGATGCTGCAAAATTGGACGTCCACGCCGATCCTGATGCCCCGAACTCTGTGGTAGAATGGAGTTATTTTGTGCATGCCAAAATCGGTGGTCGTTCGGAAGAGGCCCGAGACCCACCATTTCTGCATTTTCTTGATTTTGAATTTTGTTATGATTGTTTAAAGGGCGACACGACCTTGTGCCATGACCCAAATTTGCATTTTTGATTCAATTTAAATGAAAGCCTCCTTATTTTGACTTTGTTTATTCGATTGCTTGTTATATTTTACTTTTCTAATTTTGTCTGTTTATGATTTCAGTAACGTAAGTTACAAACCTGCCAATGTCATGTCATGTCATGAGCTAAACGAGCAAAATGAGGCAAATGACGACGAGGCTGACGACTACGACGAAGAAAGTGGGGAACCAGACTATGTGGTAGAAGAGTTTCGACAGTTCGAGAATCAACATAAACCGAATCTGGAGGAAACAGAGACGGTAAATTTGGGAGATTCAGAATGTGTCAAAGAGGTTAAGATCAGCACTCACCTGAATGAAACTCAGAAGGAGAGCCTGGTTCATTTGCTTGCCGAATACAGCGATGTGTTTGTTTGGGAGGTCGGTGACATGCAGGGGCTGAGTACTGATGTTGTAGCTCATAAGCTGCCTATCAACCCAGGGTTCGAGCTGGTGAAGCAAAAGACTCAGAAATTCAAGCCTGAATTGAGTTTGAAGATTAAGGAGGAAATCACCAAGCAGATAGAGTCTCGGTTGGTAGAAGTAACGCAATATCCCACCTGGTTGGCGAATGTTGTTCCGGTCGCCAAGAAAGATGGAAAAATCAGGATTTGTGTTGATTACAAAGATCTCAACAAGGCTAGTCCAAAGGATAATTTCCAGTTGCCAAATATCCATATTCTGATTGACAACTGTGCCAAACATGAAATGCAGTCATTTGTGGATTGCTACGCAGGTTATCACCAGATTCTGATGGATGAAGAAGACGCGGAGAAAACGGCCTTCATCATACCTTGGGGGGTATATCACTACAGGGTGATGCCGTTTGGGCTCAAAAACGTCGGTGCCACTTACATGAGAGCCATGATGACTATCTTCCACGACATGATTCACAAGGAAATTGAAGTGTACGTGGACGACGTCATAATTAAATCCCGCGAGAGTTCGGATCATTTGACACACCTGCGAAAATTCTTTGAACGTTTGCATAGGTACAACTTGAAGCTAAATCCCGCCAAGTGTGCTTTTGGAGTCCCAGCTGGGAAGTTGTTGGGATTTATAGTCAGCAGAAGAGGTATTGAGCTCGACCCTTCCAAGATCAAAGCGATTCAAGAGTTACCTCCGCCGAAAATGAGAAGAGAGGTGATGAGTTTCTTAGGGAGGTTGAACTATATCAGCCGGTTTATAGCACAATCGACGGTGGTATGTGAGCGTATCTTCAAGTTGCTGAAGAAAGATGCCCCAACTAAGTGGACTGAGGAGTGCCAGACCGCTTTCGACGCTATCAAGAGCTACTTGTCTAACCCACCAGTATTGGTTCCTCCGCGAGAAGGGAGTCCTTTGTTGCTATATTTGTCTGTTTCAGATAACGCCTTTGGATGTGTACTTGGTCAACACGACGAGACAGGGAAGAAGGAAAGGGCTATCTACTACATCAGCAAGAAATTTACTCCGTACGAGTCTCGCTACACTTTGCTGGAGAGAACATGCTGTGCTCTAACGTGGCTTGCCCAGAAGCTGAGACGCTATCTGTCGTCGTATACTACATATCTTATCTCCAGGATGGATCCGTTGAAGTATATTTTCCAGAAAGCGATGCCGACCGGGAAGCTAGCTAAATGGCAAATGCTGTTGAGTGAGTTTGACATCGTGTACGTGACTCAGAAGGCAATAAAGGCACAAGCTTTGGCTGATCATCTTGCGGAAAATCCCGTTGATGAAGAGTATGAACCTCTCAAGACATATTTTCACGATGAAGAAGTGTCATTTGTGGGTGAGGATATCTCTGAGGCTTTTCCAGGTTGGAGATTATTCTTCGATGGAGCGGTGAATCACCAGGGTAAAGGTGTTGGAGCGGTCCTGGTATCAGAATCTGGTCAGCACTATCCTATGGCGGCTAAGCTACGATTCAACTGCACGAACAACATGGCTGAGTATGAAGCTTGCATTCTCGGTTTGAAAATGGTCGTTGACATGAATGTTTACGAGTTACTGGTTATTGGAGATTCAGACCTCTTGATTCGTCAGGTTCCAGGAGAATGGGCTGTGAAGAACCCGAAGATTGTACCTTACGTACAATATGTACAAAATCTGTGTAAAAAGTTTCGCAAGATCGAGTTCAGACATACTCCCAGAATACAGAATGAATTAGCTGATGCTCTTTCCACCATCGCTTCAATGATCAAACATCCAGATACTGATTACATCGACCCGTTGGATATAGACCTGAAGGAACATCCAGTCCATTGTTCATATGTTGAATCAGAACCAGATGGTTTGCCTTGGTATTTCGACATAAAGAGGTACTTGGAGTCTGGGAAATATCAAGAAGATGCCACATCTAATCAAAAGAAGTTGATAAGTCGTATGGCTCTTAATTTCTTTTTGAATGGAGAAGTCCTTTACAGGAGGACTCCAGATTTGGGTCTTTTGAGATGCGTGGATGCTGCTGAAGCCGTGAGGCTTATTGAACAGATACATGCTGGAGTTTGTGGTACACATATGAACGGGCTTACCTTGGCAAGAAAAGTCCTTCGAGCCGGTTATTTCTGGATGACTATGGAGCATGACTGTTGCAAATTCGTGCAAAAATGCCACAAATGTCAAGTACACGGCGATCTGATAAGGGTGCCACCTCACGAACTCAATGTTATGAGTTCACCTTGGCCATTTGTAGCTTGGGGAATGGATGTCATCGGTCCTATAGAGCCGGCCGCTTCTAATGGACACAGATTCATTTTGGTTGCCATCGATTATTTCACCAAGTGGGTGGAGGCAGCTTCTTACAAATCGATAACCAAGAAAGTGGTGGCCGACTTTGTCCGCAACAATTTGATATGCAGATTTGGAGTTCCAGAATCCATCATCACTGATAACGGTGCAAATCTCAACAGCCATCTGATGAAAGAGATATGTGAACAATTCAAGATTATTCATCGAAGGTCAACTGTTTATCGCCCGCAAATGAACGGAGCTGTAGAGGCCGCCAACAAGAATATCAAAAAGATTCTGAGGAAAATGATCGACAAGCAGCGAGGTTGGCATGAAATATTGCCATATGCTCTACTAGGTTATCGAACAACGGTCAGAACATCAACTGGGGCTACTCCATACTTGCTAATATACGGAACAGAAGCAGTCGTACCTGTTGAAGTCGAGATACCGTCACTGAGGATCATCCAAGAAGCTGAGCTAATAAATACTGAGTGGGTTAGCAAACGGATTGATCAGCTAACTTTGATTGATGAGAAGAGGATGGTCGCTGTTTGCCATGGCCAATTGTATAGACAAAGAATGACTCGCGCTTTTCACAAAAGAGTAAGAGCCAGAAATTTTGAAGTTGGTCAGTTGGTTCTTAAGCGTATTTTTCCTCATCAAGACGAGCACAAAGGAAAGTTCGCACCAAACTGGCAAGGTCCTTACATGGTTCGCAAAGTACTATCTGGAGGTGCTTTAGTTTTATCAGAGATGGATGGCGCTGTATGGCCCAAACCTATCAACTCAGATGCTGTCAAGAGATACTACGTGTGAAGTTTCGCTTTACAATTTTCTTTCATTTACTTGTAATTGTTTTGTTTGCTTGTATTTGTTCAATTTGAACTCTTATCCCACTTGTAACGAACTATGTCTGGCCTGAATTCTCGAGAACGAGATACGTAGGCGGCCTATGTCGGCTTCGGTCACCCCATTTACCCCCTTTAATTATTTTCCTCGGGTGTGAACTACGTTCGACCTGAATTCTCAAGAATGAGATACGTAGGCGGCCTTTGTCGGCCTCGGTCGGTTTCTTTGTAAATTTTATTCTTGTTAACCTTTAAGGGGAACTACGTTTGACCTGATTCCTGCCTCAACGGGATACGTAGGCGCCACAAGGGCTCAGTCATATCTATCGTAAGATTTCTATTCCCCTTTACAGTAGAATAGGGACAGAATTTTTGAGAGGAACTCAAAAATTCTCCAGAAGAAGCCTCCTCTTCAGCAAACCAGACAAAAGACATTTCGAATTTGCGACTGGGACAGAATTTTGGGAAGATCTCAAAATTTCCGCGATCTGTTCGGTTACAATGGAAAGATGAGCAAGATACTAAACTGGGACAGAAATTTTGAGGATGGCCTCAAAATTTCGTCATGGGACTTCCCTACAAGTCCAGATTGCCTCTGAAATTCATTCAACAAGCGTCGGACTCAAAGAAGCTCGTTAAGCCTGACATGACATGACTTGGCAGTGACTTTTTCGAGATACTATTTCTTAAAAATTTCTTGTTTCTCTTAAAAATTTCCCTTTTATATTTCATCTGTTTTGGCATAAGATATTTTCTTATCTATCAAGAGTCGGGAAATCGGGAAATCAACCGGAGACGTCAAGACAAGGAGCAAACAACCGAAAGGATCGACACAGATCAGTATGTTTAAAACTAACAATTTTTCTGTGGATGCAGGTTTATAGCTTCGCTTCGAAATCGACCGAATTCTTCCGACTGATGAATACGGAGAAGGAGAAAACTATCTCCAAAGCCAGTGATTTTATTGAAAGCAAGAAGCATTTCATATCGTTTATGCCAACATGCTTGTGAATGTGTTTGTTTATTTCAAGTCATTCCCCAATACATGAAATTTACAAAGTGCCTGGCCAGATTCAAAGGTGAATCAAAAAGGAATCTCAGCGAAGATTTCACGATTTCTATAGAAGACGCTATTTGCATTTCGTTATCAAAGTAAGATGATTATTGTTGATCAAGACAATGCATTACCTCAGAAGAGACAGCTATGCAAGTATTATTTTTATCATTATCGATCAAGTCGATATATTATTTGGAGGTCGTCTTGCCGTTACTATCCACGGGGGTGATATAAATATTCATGCATCGCGAAATTTATACACTGAAAAATCATGCATCGCGGAATCATGCATCGCGGAATCATGCATAGCAGAATCATGCATCGCGGAATCATGCATCGCGGAATCATGCATCGCGGAAATCATGCATCGCGAGTCAATAATTATGCATGACGAGAAGATTTCATGCCTCGTCAAAATTTATACATCGCGAGAAGAATTTATGCCTCGCTGAAAATCATGCATCGCGGAAATCATGCATCGCGAGTTAATAATTATGCATGACGAGAAGATTTCATGGCTCGTCAAAATTTATACATAGCGAGAAGAATTTATGCCTCGCTGAAAATCATGCATCGCGGAATCATGCATCGCGGAAATCATGCATCGCGAGTCAATAATTATGCATGACGAGAAGATTTCATGCCTCGTCAAAATTTATACATCGCGAGAAGAATTTATGCCTCGCTGAAAATCATGCATCGCGGAATCATGCATCGCGGAAATCATGCATCGTGAGTCAATAATTATGCATGACGAGAAGATTTCATGCCTCGTCAAAATTTATATATCGCGAGAAGAATTTATGCCTCGCTGAAAATCATGCATCGCGGAATCATGCATCGCGGAAATCATGCATCGCGAGTCAATAATTATGCATGACGAGAAGATTTCATGCCTCGTCAAAATTTATACATCGCGAGAAGAATTTATGCCTCGCTGAAAATCATGCATCGCGGAATCATGCATCGCAGAAATCATGCATCGCGAGTCAATAATTATGCATGACGAGAAGATTTCATGCCTCGTCAAAATTTATACATCGCGAGAAGAATTTATGCCTCGCTGAAAATCATGCATAGCGAAAATCATGCATCGCGAGTCATTAATTATGCACGACGAGAAGATTTTATGTCTCGTCAAAATTTATGCATCACGAGAAGACTTTGTGCCTCGCTGACAATTATGTACGACGAGAAGATTTCATGCCTCGTCAAAATTTATACATCGCGAGAAGAATTTATGCCTCGCTGGAATTCATGCATAGCGAAAATCATGCATCGCGAGTCATTAATTATGCACGACGAGAAGATTTTATGCCTCGTCAAAATTTATACATCGCGAGAAGATATTTATGCCTCGCTGACAATTATGTACGACGAGAAGATTCATGCCTCGTCAAAATTTATACATCGCGAGAAGAATTTATGCCTCGCTGGAATTCATGCATAGCGAAAATCATGCATCGCGGAAATCATGCATCGCGAGTCATTAAATTTGCACATCGCGAGAAGATTTTATCCCTCGCTGAAAGTTATGCATCGCGAGAAGATTCATATCTCGCGGGAATTTACGTATTGCGGTAAGATATTTATGCCCCGCAAGAGGACATACACGGATAAAGAAAGAGCAATATTTATCCATCGGCCTCAACCACATTCCTTATTTTTATAAAAGAAAACATCAAGAAGAGCATCGAAGATAGCAACAAAAGAGACATCAATATCGCATCAACATTTATTTGTTTATTTTAGCATCAAATGAAGAGTACCCTAAAGATTTTATTTACAAAGCACAAGGCATAAGCTTTATTTGCTAGATGTCAGACCGATCGAGTCGACGTCGAATATTGAGGAGAACAAGGAAGTGTCGACATGGTAAAAAGACACTGTCTCTCATCCTAATTGCATTTTTAAGCTAACGAGTTTTATCTTAGTTTTGTCGAGAGCATCCGAAAGGATGAATTCTCAAAAAACCACAGGTGTGGACGACATCAAAAAGGATGCAGCACAACGTGGAACTTTTTCTTAGCAGCGAACTGGGACACAGTCCGAAGAGGAGTGTCAAACTCTTAGGACGCGAGCAGAGGAGCGAATTCCACCACAATCGAACCACCCCTCTCGAGGCATGCGGGTCTTCCTTTAGGTCTGTCAATTTAAATCTTGCATCCGGAAGTTTTGTCTTATCAGAAGTCAGTTTCCAATCTGAGTGACAATGCGCCAAGAGCCTTGGAAATTATGTCCGTGTGAGTTCTTACCTATGGATGTGAAGAGCTCCACATTCATGGCTAAGAGGTTACAAGCGTCCTTTTCATACTCGTTGAAATGTCACTTTTCCAAAACCAAAGGTTATCTAGCATAATAGAATTCTTTTTCTACCGATCGAGTCGAACTACACACAGCCTGATTCCAAAGGTTTAGGGATATGTAGGCGGATTCAATGCTGAAACTCGGTTGTATCCCAATATTCGCTCTCGAATTCTATTCTCGAGCATTTTGGCGCCTTCATAATTCAGTGTCGATGTGGCTTTTGATTCTCCCAAAATCATGCGATAAATCAAGCTTAACGAACTACAAGTGGCCTGAATTCTCATATAGCCTGAGATATGTAGGAAACTCGTTGCAAGGGTTCGGCCATAATTCCTAAACCCTTTGTCGAATCCTTCCTTTAAAACGAATGAGGTTGGTCAAAATTGGTTTGGTCAATTTCATTTTCCTCGAATTGTTTGCATCAATCCGAGTAAAATGAGGGACAGTTGTTGACACCCAATTTTTGACCCACGTCGGTATAAATTAATTATCGAGCTTCTTGAGTTTTCAAATTATTTAAGTTAGTTAGTTTTATAAATTTTTGCGAAAAATATATATATATATATGTATATGTACATATATATATATATATATATATGTATATGTATATCTTAAGTTTAGAAGGTATTCTATTAAACTAGTTTACTTTAAATCACGACTATATTTTGAATCATTATTTTTACAATTTAAATAGTTATGTTACTAAATAAATAAGCTCGTTAATAAATTTACACCAAATTCATTTTCGTTTAACTCAATTGGCTATTATTTAAATTCAATTCCCTTTACATTTTAACAATTCATTTCAATTTCAGCCTATCCCCCTCAACCCCAAATCAATTTCCCATGTCCAATTTGTAGGCCCAAACAATCCCAGCCCACTCCACTTCCTTCCCAACCCCTTGTTTCCTTTGTTTTACTCTCCCCAGGCCCAATTACCCCTCAGTCCGGCCCATCCTCCTCAACCCAACCCAAATCAATTCACCCCTCTCTATCCAATATTCAGGCGGCCCACTCCCCTCTCCTTTCCAGCCGCCCCAAGCCCAATCCCAAGCCCATTCCCTATACCCAATTCCACCGATCCCAGCCCAAAATCCCGTCCAACCCTTCCCTTGTATTTTAATAAAAATCCAGCCCATCTCTCCCTTACCCGCTCCGACCCAACCCATTTAACCCCCGATCCAAACCCGCCAACACCCGACCTAGACCCCATCTTATCTCTTTCCCCTCACCAGCAAAACAGATGCAATTCCCAGAACAGAAGAAACGTCAAAAATCCCCAGAAGCAGAAAATGCAGACGCGACAGCACCCCGAAAAAATGGAAATGCTTCCCCCTCCCCCCAACGTCTCCTTCTTCACCCAGCGTACCGCGTACAGTTGCTTTCGGTGGGTGCAGACCTGCGTTCGCCGCTTTGGCAGACGCGCTTTCGTCCTTAAGGGCTCGAGATCAATCCACGTCTCCCCTCAAGGACGATTGGAGCGATCCTAGCCATCCTCTCCCCTTTTCTATTTCCGCAAAGGGCAATTTTTCAGAGAAAAAGGTGTTGCTCCATTAATGGAAGGGATTTCAAATTTTGAAATCAATAGTCACGTTCCCGCCCTCTCTCTTCTGAAACCCTTTTCCCCTTCTATATAAACCCCACCCCTAATCCGAAAAAGGGGTTAGCAATTTTTGGTTGAGAGAATTTTCGAAAGACTCTGCTTCTTCTTCCGTCGGTTGTTGGACGTTTTGGTTAGAACTTTGAGCATTGGGAACTTTTCGGAGTTGAAATCGTTAGAGCTTTGAGTATTGGAGAGATTTTAAGGGTTGAAAAATTGAGAAATCGTAAGTTGAAGTTCTTTGTTTTTTTTTCTGTTTGTTGTTGTGTGAACTGGAAAAATTTAGTTGGATTTTGAGGGTCGGAAGGAGTATAAGGGAAAGTCGAGTTGAAACTACGAAAGGGGGATTATCATTTTCGTTTGAGATCCTCGAAAGTCGAAGTCGAAAGTTTCATTTTCTTCTTCATTTCTTCTTTGAAACTACGAAAGGGGATTATCATTTTCGTTTGAGAGCCTCGAAAGTCGAAGTCGAAAGTTTTGTTTTCTTCTTCATTTCTTCTTTGGAACTGTCAGCTGAAGGTGTCCGAAACAGGGCTTGCCTTTCAGTCTTGATCGCGATATCGTCATCTCAATCCAGCGACGCCAGCCCTTTACGCGCTTGCTCAAAATACTAGGTTCGTGGTGGAAGTCGTCGCTCATCGCTGCTCGCCGTCCCTGTTGCTGCCCGGAAAGAGGTACGATCTATCCTTCGAATTTATTTCGTCTTTGTTGCTGTGATGCAATGGGTTTGGCTGCGTCTATCGATTTTCATCTAGTATAGTCTGGCTCGTCTATATGTGTTGTTATGCTTCGTCTATTGTTGTTGTCTAAGTCGCGTCTGGTTTCGATATCACATGAGAAATGATATTCGTTGTTGGTCTTCTTTAGTTGTTGATTTGTTCCTCTACTGCTATAAAAAAAAAGAGAATAGAAAATCTCGTTGCTGCTGTTCATATTGCTGTTCTTTCGTCTCGTTTCGGGTTCAAACCTGTTGAACATGTGAATGTTAAGTACATGGTTTGTCTACTGTAACTGCAAGATGTTGTGAGTGTTGGGTTTAGTTTGAGC